GCGGTTGCTTTGAAAAATGTGTTTGTCGATCTTGTGCAACAACAAGACGAAGAAGATGAAGAAGCTATACACACCACAGATACGAGTGCAACCGTCATGATCCGATGGCAAGCGATGCGGCAACGGAGGATGAGATTTTATAGAATGCGAGCACAGCCGAGAATTAATTACAGCTTTGTATAAGTAACTGGCTCGTGCTGCCAGTAATTACGCCGCGGGATATTCAGGGCACAGACCGTGATCATAAGATATAGAATAGAAAATAGATTTTTAGAAAATACACTTTCCATGTGAACGAAGCCTAAAAGTCAAACAGTTTAACACCAACTCTTTTGAAGTGCACATTGATGATGACATCTTTTTATGTAGCCACTGTCCTTACAGAAAATTTGATGTGCCGTTTATGTAGTAATGCATGTAGATCTATAAAAAAAGGGGGGGGGGGTGGCTTTGCATTTTATGTATCAGTGGTTTATATATAAATATATGTATATATACATATGTTTTGAAAATATGATGAGGAGGAATGTAGTGTATTCTATGCTTTGTTTATGTGCCACATCATGTATCATGTGACTTAGCGTGGTTATCTTGAATGTAAAAAAAGTAGAACTCACAACATTATTATATCTGTGTATTTTATTCTATTTACGCTTGCAAACTTACTTTCCATAAGTTTCTTTAATTCACTTTCCTGTCTCGGTATTGTTTTATATACTTAGTGGTTTAATTTTTTCTACACAATTGTATAGTATCTGCTGATAATGATGTTAATTAATGATTGTGTGAAAATGAGTGTCTATTCAAGGCACAAAGTTTTTAGAAAAGGTAGTCAAATTTCAGGCAAACTTAGTAGCTAAGATTTGTGGTTTAAAGTTGAGTGAAAGTAAATCAATTCAGCTATAATATTGGAGTTTCCTTGAAAGCAGAAGAATTTTGCAGCATTAACATTGTAGTTGTGAAAAGGCTATTTTGTTCAACACTTCAGGGTTTTGAGGGCCTTTATTGTCATCCAGGTACCAAAAATGAGGATTTTAGTGCATCTAATTATTCAGTAATGCATCTATCTTTGTGTTTATTTATAATATAAAAAAAGTCCCCTCAAAAGTATAAAATATCATCGTTTATGTTTCCTGTTGGAATGTATAAGTATAGGCAACTCGCTTTAATCCCAATTTAACACCTTTCTTCTTTGAGGTGAGATAGTAATTGGCATGAGGCTGAACTTTATCCCTGAGCAAGATTTAATTAATGTATGGGCTACAATCCCATGCCATCTTCATGATGTTTTTTTATTGGAGCTNAAACCTGTGACGTACGAGACTTATGACTTCCAAATATGGATCCAGGCAGACACAGCTGTGACGTGTGACTTCCAAATATGGAAGCGCCCCAAGCAGAATTTTGAAGAAGAACCCCCCCCCCCCCCCCGATGTACCGATGTAAAGTGTAAGATCCACAGCTTTATAATTATTCCCATATATCTAGCCCCTGAATAAGGAGATGCCATCAATGCAAATTTACAACACAGTCCCATAAAATGTATTTAAAGCAATTTAATCATGTTTTTTGAATAATACATGTAACAAAAAAAAAATCCCTTCTTCAATGAAAAAAAATGTACATTTCTATTTGGTGCAATATACAACCTGGGAACCAGTGTTCTGCAGCAGTTACAAGACATACACAGAATCTATGGCATCATGATACAATGTTAGCTGTTACAGAACGTTCATACACACAGTGCTGCTTACACCTATAGCTACTACGTACTGGAGCTTTGGTCACAAGATACACCTCTCATTCACATGGCCAGAATGCAGCTAATTTATACAGGTCGAGCAAAGACTGAATCAACATAATTCTCTAGAACAATCCTTAATCGTAAGAAAGCTTTCCTCAGTATAAGTGACCCCATGATATGACCACAAAGTGAAAAATTCCCAGCACTTGCCAACAAAGGATTTATCTGAATGCAAATCATCCATGTCAAAAATAATTTCTATAATATTGCAAATTCAGACTAAATGAATCTCAGAATTTCTTTTCATCAAAGATGTGGGTTTAACAAAGTCTTGCAGAAGACCTTTATTATTTTATGTCAAATTTAACTGACTCGCCAATTATAGCATATTTTGCACATCATAAATATATTGACCGTCTTGCATTCTTCGCGGCTTTCGGATAACAATTCACTAATTAAGTTATCACAACTGTACAAATGACTAAGCTGAAGAAAATTATTCCAAGCTGCAATACAAAAGCTCTGTGAATTTCAGTTATCCTTCCCAATGGGTCTGAATATAAAAAGCAATAACAAGCTTGCATTCATCTTGTTCAGTGCTATGGGCCATTTTGCCGCAAAATCATACGCTACCATAAAAAACTTCCCAGAAAAATCCAAGCATACACCAATGAAAGATGAAACATCTGCCATTTTATCTCTTTTCATAAATCATAATTATGACTTTATTGCACAGATTTTCTTTCCATAAATTCTGCATAGAACAGGCTCATTTGAATCCATTACATCTACATTATACTGGACAATTTACAAGAATAACACAGTATGTCTTCTTGAACATGGAAATCAATGGCTTGCCTGCACCATAAAAAATTACACATTACAAAACAAGCAATGAAGCTTTTCAACATTTTTAACAGTTTCTTTAACGGGTATATAAAAAAGATCCTCTTCATAACTTAACCAGTTAAAAAATACTCCTGAAAAATCACCTGGGATCTTTTATGAATACAAAAAGAAAAAAGGTGATTTCTTACAGTTTACTTATTTTACACCAATCGGGAGGAATAAATGCTACAATGTAATTCTTTCAATTCCACCTTACTTCGGCATGCCTTCCATTCCTCATCTCTTTAGAAAATCTTTCTGCCTGAGCACCACAATACACAGCTCTATCATGCAGCAGCCATTTGTTTTTGACCCTGACATTAATTTACAGTACAGCCACATAAGTTGCTAGTCTCTGCTGGTCCAGGGCATACCACAGCACAGACATCAGCAAGGCTATATCTGCTGCTGGTATTGTCTAATATTCATCTTGAGCTGGTTCTAACATTATCAGCTATCATCATGGATGCTGCTGCATACGTATCCTCTGCATCATCATAGGGTGGTTCACCAGTATCTGTTGCTGATGGTGCTGTTGTTGCGCTGCGGCGGCCGCTGCAGCCAGTGCGGCATGGTGTGGGCCTGCCACCACCTGTTGTATCCCGGCAGGAGTGTGGATCAGCATGGTCTGTCCCGGCACCAGCTGAGGATGGTGTGGTGCGGCAGCAGGATGGTGCAACTGGACTGGTAATCCAGCATGTGGCTGTCCCGGCGGATGGTTGGCTGCTATAACCTGGTGTGGTATCCCATTTATCATCTGTATACCAACAGGATGGTGGCCCACTGGGATCTGGATGGGAATGGGTTGCCCTGTGGCTGCAGCTTGGGCTTGTGCCTGAGCCTGGGCTTGAGCTTGGGCATGTGCCTGGGCAGCATGTGCCTGGGCAGCTTGGGCCTGAGCCTGCGCTTGAGCCTGGGCCTGGGCATGAGCAATGGCAGCTGAGGAACTGGAGGCAGGCACAAGCACTGGGGTGCCTGGCTGAACTCCTGCTGGCAATGCCTGGATTCCCTGTACCACCTGCATCCCAGGCATCCCAGGCACCTGTACCAGCTGCATGCCCTGCAGTGCCTGGACTGGGATACCACTGGGATGGATGGCCTGGGGGGATGGCACTGGTGTGGCCGCCTGCTGAAGGACAAGCTGTGGCTGGCTGGGCGAGGTGGTGGTGGCTGCCTGGACATACTGTGCCTGAGAGAGAGGGATCCCCAGCTGTTGGGCCTGAGACAACAGGATCTGCTGAGCCTGAGAAAACACCACCTACAATATACAATGGTATAACACATAAACATTATCTATATTAAGAAATGAGTGCCATTTTTCATTCAATAATTTTTTCTTCTCATAACCTTTGAAAAAATTGTATGACTGTGTCCGATTTACTTCTAAGTAATATTGTAGCATTAATTATCGAAAGTAATTGATGATATACACATGGGTTTCAAATTATAAGGTTAAATTTCTTGTGTACTACTGAACCCATTAAAAGTGAACAAGTGGTGCCACCTATTTGCTGGGTGATGAATTATCTCAGTGGCTGTGTTTAGTCTATGTAATGTAAACATTAGAATAACATTAATATATACCCATTTCCTCCTAATTATATCACTGAATTTCCATGTGAACTTTCAGTGGTATCATCCAGAGGGGAAAAAGGGTATAAATAAATTTATGTATTATTAAATTTAATTTCCCAAATATAAACCATCAGTGTCAGGCATGCACCCAAAGACACACAGCAGAGCAGTTGGATAACAATGATATTGATATGACATAGACAGCCAAGACCATTACACTTTATAATCCATTCCTTCAGATGGTTTTGTAAAAAGGTTTAAACCACATTCTGAACCACATTCTACTTAACATTAAACTTTAAATGCTGTTTCTTTTCGGAAAGGTTGCATGAAAATCACAATTTTGATATAAAAAAGCAAAAAAAAAATAAATAATAAAATAAAATAAATAAATAAAGACAAACCCAGGCAAGTTTTTTTTCTTTGTTTTCTCAAAAATAATCAGTTTATATAATACATAAATGAAGCTTTATGCCTGGCTGTAAACATTCAAAACTAGTTGCATTTTTTAAAAAACAAAGTTTATCCAAATAAAAAGGAGGCAAGTCACTTCAATCATATTATGTTCTCTTTAGTTGCAATGTCTCCCACAAACTCTGCAGTGAATCTCTCCCACGGTATTTAAAACACATGCTAACATGCCAATCAGTCATGAATCAAAGGAAGCATTTTTACATTCCACAGAACTTGACATCTTTTATATTATATCATCTAGCTAGTCCACAATGAAAATTGCTCAAAACTAGACTCTCTTAAACCAATATAATAATCCAGCTGACATAAAAGGCAACCAGACTGCTTAACAATGGGTAGGATATCCAGAAGCACAACCAGATGTCTTTGTGTAATCTGGCCGTCTGATGATGTCAACTGGACATTTCTTGGTTCAAACTAGCCCTGTTTTGAATGCGCCTTCGGAGCAAGCTGAGACCTTTCAAGTTTCCATCTCAGTCTGCGACAGCAGCATAGCGCGACTCCCAGGCATTTTTTAAATCTTCCAATAATACTCACAATACTGCAGAACACTTTTAGTCTACTGCAGCTGCACTAAATCACAAAATACTAAGACTTTCACTTTTTGAATAAAGAAATTTGTTCTTAAATGCACAGGGTACCAAATAGGCACCATACTGGACTCAGCAGGCAATCATGCTAAAAGAGGTGAAAGGTTACACAGCCACCAAAAGCAACTACCCCATACATTACATAGTACTGCCAAGCTCTGGGCCTGAACCTCAATAAAAGATATCAACTAATCATTTCTCATGGGATTTTGTGCCTTATCCATATGTTAACCAAAAAAATCAATAAAACGCTTAATAAAATAAAAATAAATTAAAAAATTAAGAAATAACACCATTATATATTGATTAATCTACAAGAACTGCCAAGTTGTGCCATTTTACCTTGGATCATAATTGGTGATTACTATGCACCTCTTTTGCAATTAAATGTTGTTGCCATTCCCACTGCAGTAAAGTAAAAGTGCATGGGCCTTTCCTTCTGGCAGGGTGAACACAAAATTCATGCACAGCTTTTGATTCAGTGAAAAGTTAACAGTTGAATCCTTGGCACACTTCCCATGGATACAATGAGAGACAAATGATCTACAAGTTTTCCCAGATAAAGTGCTAAATGTTCACACATTTCCATACATGAAATTCTGTGTCGCCCTGTGATGCCAAACAAAATTTAACCAGGAGGTGACCACATTAAGCCTTGTCACCCAATACTATATTTAAAGCAAAAATGGCAATTTTGTTTTTACCTATAATCATAGTCTAGTATTAATTTGGTGTTAGAATGTGATAACCTGCTCTCTCATATACCTATAATCAAAACCTCTCCCAATACTATATTCAATTAAATTATTTATTCATAATTACTACTTTAATGCAGTTTGATGACTTTCAGGGAAAAATTAGAAAGAAATCTGATCATAATTCCACCAACTGCAATGTGTTAAGTATTTGGTCAATAAACTAAAAGGGGGCTAATTACCAAGTTAATTTTACTGCAAAATACATTCTAATATCAACCAACAAGCCCAAGTTATCTATAGCTAGCAAGCTAAAATGACTCTTAGGACCTGTTGGCTGAGGCTCAGGCCTGAACACATTTATTAACATTGAAAACACAAATTTTGTCAGCCAAATTTAACATGGAACATAACAAAACAATATGAACCAGTTAGGCTCCCTTTAACAGTAACAATAGCCGACTGAAGCTACAATAGCCATGACAAAGCCTCAAACTTACGCATCTATTGCCAATCCAAGTGACCTAAACTCAAGTAAAAACAGGAAGATGTCACTAGTATAGAGAAATCATAATGCACATCTTCAGCTGATGTATGTGTAATATGTGTACCCCAAGGAAGAAAGGGGGGGGGGGGGGGGCTGGGAGAAAAAAAGGCAAGGACTGGGAAAAATTAGCGGTATAAGGATGTACTTTGCTAAGGATAGATGCCCTGGAGTGCATTTGTTAAACATAACTTATAGCAAGTAGCTTGGCCAGAAACAGGTGCTTGTCAGTTAAAACAGGCAGTGAATTGTAAATGGCACCAGTAAACAAAAGTGGAGGGGTTTGTTTATATGGCACAAACAACAAAATGTTTTGTACTTTCTTTAAATCAATGCCAACTTGCAGCACAATACACTAACTTAAGCATCAATAGCATTTTAACACAGCATTTTTAACAATTTCATTAAAAAGAAATATCAACAAGCAACACTGTAACTAAAAACATTAACTTCAATTAGTGCAGTTTGCACAAATTGCAACACTACGCAGCAAGTACAAAATTATTAACAAATACATCACTCTTAACGTACTCTGACAGTGACGGGCAGGTGCCATTTACATGTGAAATGTTTGAGACAATGGGGTTGCAGTGTAATCAAAGGTAAGGTAAAAAGAGGGTAAGGGTGGGGGGGGACAGGGGAGAGAAGGGGGTAAACAGTGGATCTGGGTATGGGGCCATCTCAAAAGATACCCATCATCGTAAAGAATGTTAAACAAGTTTTGTCTCCCTAGGGGTCAGTGTCACAAAAGAACTTCAACTGATAACTGGTTTAAACTTAAAAGAATACAATTTTTTTTCACTCCAGTTCAGGACAAATCAACAGGAGTGAACCAAAATGAATTAAAACTCGAAAGTTAATTATCCCCTTACAGCTTGTAGTAGGCGGGATGGACATTTAAGCCGGATTATCGGACAGTAATCTAGTGAGACTCCCCGCGGGGATAGATCGATCTAAAAGCTCTGGGAATACGCCCTAAAGCACCAAATTTTTTTGGCTTTTTTGGCAAAAAGTTCTTTTGTGAAACTGTCACATTTTTATTTTGAAAGGATTTTTATACGGGATGTTTTGAAGGGTCAAAAAAAGACAGAAATGCCTCAGGGCTGATAGAATCAATAGGGTGAAAAAGTGCAAGAAACAAATAAAATAAGTAGAAAACAGTTAAACCTGCTTCTGCAATTTCTTAATTCTTAAGTATTACCATAATATTAAAACAGTAACACTACTACCAACATACTGTTTTCAGTGTCATTTGTAATAGATACAGGTATGCTTAGGGTTTAATAAACATTTACATGAAATCAACTGTCAAAATGCAAGCAACACAGGACCATGCGTATTGCAAATTATTTCTAAAATAAGAAACATTCCATCAAACACTCTAGACAAAAATCTTAAAACATTCTTCCACAATGCAACAGAGCAGATTTTCCACAATATCACCTATTCAACAACAGAAGTTACTTCCAAAAGAAGCAACTCCTGGACTGAAATGTCTTTTCTTTTTTTCCCTAGGTTTCTTTTTCAATATCGCAACCTGGTTATATATCCCATTCCTTATGCTAGATGTCAAAACACTGTTTATAACACTTTCTCAACCATATATTCAGCTAGAACAGTATAATTTGGTAAAAGCATAATCCAATTTGCAATGTGGAAAATCCATCTGGAAGTCAGTCAAGCACAGAACATGATAGCTGAACAGTTTGTGCTGGTTTCAAGTGTATTGACTTTTGACCTTCACGGCTTAAGTTATTTTAAAAGCATTTTTAACCAATCATAATTCCTTCTCAATTTTTTTGGACCACCTCTTGAAAAAAAAAAACACTTCAAACCAACATCATTTAAAGAAATGAATAAACACATGATAATACAAAATATTGCTTAAAAGAAAAACAATAATTAAATGGCTCCCCCTACACACCTGCTGTGGCACTTGCTGAGTACCGTCTTCCTCTAGCTGCACCAGTTCCATGCCATCCTCGTCTAGGGCAATGGACCGCCCCTCCTCCGCCATGAGTGGATCAGCCACGTTGATGTGGACGGGTACAAGACCCCTGTCCTGAGCTTCCTGGAGCTGTTTCTAAAAAATCAAAAATAAGATAATTTTTTATGACATTCACACTTGTTCAAAAGGCAAGGAAGTGGTTAAATAACACATATACAATACAGATAGGACAGTAAGTGTTTTTCTCAAGTTTCTACCTTTTACATTGAAAGTGATATCTGACTAATGAAACCTCCTAGCCAACTTGTAAAATTTCTTAGCACAAACTACTTTTTTTTCCTTAATTTCATACTTGGAACATAAAGAACAAGAACAAGTCATCCCCCTAAACCACCCTGATCCCCCACTGACCTGCTGTACATGCTGCAAGGCCTGCTGCTGCAGGTGCTTGTACTGCTCTGCCTGCTCAGGGGTGATCTCAAACGATGGCTTAATTTCCACAGGCTCTGGGCTCTTTTTCTCCTCCACCACAGGTATCGGGTCGCCTGGCTTAACAGGACCTATGAAGTTCTGCTGGTGAGGCTTCTGAGGCTGCTGTTGGTGTTGTTGTTTAGAATGTTGCTGGTGGTTGTGTTGTTGTTGGTTCTGTTGCTGGTGAGGTGACTGATGCTTCATCTGCTGGTTGGGAAACTGTTGATTCTGATGTTGCTGGTGAGGTTGCTGTTGTTGTTGTTGCTGCTGCTTCTTGTTATTCCGCCTATTGTTGTTCTTGTTGCGGTTTTGCTGGTTGTGGAAGACAGGAGGGGGCGGTGGAGGGGGTAGCATAGGCGGGTGAGGGCTATTTGGACGGTGAGACCCTCCTCCAGCACCAGCCAGGGGTGGGCGTGGTCCTCTTGGCCCTCCACCAGGGAAGGGAGGACCTGGGAATCTGACGTCTTTGCTCTGTTCTATCCTGTTGACTGACCTAGGGGTCAACTGTACTGGCACCTTCTGAGGAGGACGTGGCCCTGGGGTTGGAGGGAGAGGAATGTTTGGCCCATTCTGGGAGTTCGACTTTGGAGTGGTTGGTTTTGCCGATGGTTTCCCTGGACCACCTCCAGCCGGGAGAGGAATATCAAGCTCCACTTTCTCCTCAGAGTCCTCACCTTCCCCTGTAGCATCCTCCCCTGTAGTGCTCTTGTGCTTCCCTGGCAGTTTCCCAATCAAAGGCACAGTAAGTGTGTCTGAAGCTTTGCCATCATTGTTGGATTTGCCAGGGGAAGTCTCAGCTCCGTCTTCCCCTGTCTGCTTCTTCTCCTTGACCCGCTTCAGTAATTCCTGTGCCTGGGGGGCCACCTCTTCCTTATTCACCTTGACTGACTGGACCAGCTGCTGGGGATCAAAAGATTTTGTCTTTTCCACTTTCTTTTCCCTCTGTGGCTTTGGCTCTCTCTTTGGAATCACAGAACTGAATTTGTTGTCTGGGCTTGCTTTCATTTCTCTCAATGGCCTGGATCTGCTACGATTTCGCGATCTGTGCCTCGAGCTTCTGTTTCTGTTATACCGCCCTCGTGAACGAGATCTTGAGCGAGATCTGCTGTATGACCTAGAATGCCTGTGTCTGGAACGACTTCTACTTCTACTTGAGTAGGATCTAGACCTACTTCTACTGTAAGATCTTCTTCTATGCCTGTCCCTAGAATAAGAGCGAGATCTGGACCTGGAACTTCTGCTATATGACCTACTGTAGGACCGCCCTCTTGACCTGCTGCGACTGTGATAATCATCAGAATAGCTGCTATAGGAGTCATCTCGATGGCGACGAGACCGATGAGAGCGAGACCGGGAACGAGTACGACTTCTACTTCTGGAGTGGTCATAATCACTTTCTGATGTGTAAGAATAACTTCTGCGCCTCTTTTTCTTTTTTCTGTCTCTGTCATCATCATAGTCACTCTCAGAAGAATATGAGTCGTCTCTGGACCTACTCCTACTGCTGTGATGCCTTGATTTATGCCTGGACTTGTGATCACTGGATTTACTCCTTGACCTAGTTCTCCTGTCCGATTTCTTCTCCTCTTTAGTCTTAATATCGGTCCCTTCTCTATGACTACGTTGGCTGCTTTTTTGTTCTTGCCTGTCTGACCCAATTATGGCTGCCTCAGTTGGCTTCTTGGCACTGTCGCGATCTAAAGCAGAAATGGCTGCTTCCTCATCGCTGCTTGTGTCCCACTTAGACTGGGACGGTGTTGCTGGTCCTCCTTCTGTCTTCTCGTTCTTGGTTTTTGCATGTTGTTGATGACTATTTCCTTCTTCAGGACCTATGCTCCTGTTAGACTTCTGTGAGCTGTTGAACGTCTCTTCATGTTTGGAACGCTTAGATCCAGCATGTCCACTGGAATTTCCAACCTCTTGCTCATGCTGTCTTTTCTTAGCCACACCGGGAGAGGCTGTTGTTTTAGCGGTCTTCACCGCAGTCTTTTTACCACCGTCCTCCTTTTCTACAGCAGGATGATTGGGCTTTTTATCTTTGGTTGCTTTGGCATTGGCTGCTAGTGCTGTCTCACTCTCTGAATGGGAGTCCTCCCCTGATGAAGCTTGCTTTCTGTTAGATCCTCTTCTGCTTGAACCCCGACCTCTGCTACTTCCATCTGATTTTTCTGATTTGGGAGTTTTCATTTTTTTGTCTTTGAGCTCTTCATCAGGATCATTTTCAGATAGTTTTCTCTTTTCTTCACTCTTGGTACCGGGCTCAGTTTTTACTTTAGCAGTCTTACTGTCATTAACGCCTTCACTAGTATCAATCTTTTTACTTTCTGCCTCCAACTCTTTTTCATCATCAGCACCAGATTTTGGTGTTCTATTTTTACTTGTTTTTAATTTCTTCTCTTTCTTTTTCTTTGTCTTTACTTTTTTGCTGCCATACTCATTGGTCTCTTCAATTTCCTCCTGAACAGTAGATGGCTCTTCCTTTTTGATTACTGCTTCCCCGATTGGAGCTTTATCCTCACAATTGCCCTTATCCTCTACAATTCCGGTGTGTTCCTTCTCAGATCCACTTTCTTCTGACACAGACATTCTGGACCTCTTTGATTTCTTGGACTTCTTTGATTTTTTTCTTTTCTTTGATCTTTTCCTCTTGTGTGACTTTTTGGTCTCAGTCTTTTCATTGCCATCTTCTGGTTTTGCCTCAACTTCAGCAATCCCTTCTCCTGTTTCATCAGTTTCCATTTTCTCTCCCTTTTCTGTGCTCTTCCCCTCTTCCTGGTTCTGATCTCGTTCACGATGATGGTGGTGGTGATGAGACTTTTTCTTCTTCTTTTTCTTCTTGTGTCGATGTCTCCTGTGTTTCTTCTCTTTCCCTTCTTCTTCTTTCTCGCTGTCATCATTTTCCTCCTTACGCTTGTGTTTCTTCTTCTTCTTTTTCTTCAGTGTGGCAGGAGGCCTGATCTCCAGGCCTTCCTCTTCCATCTCCTCATTGTCAGCCTCTTGGTCACTGCCATGATCTACAGCTGCCTTTTCATCATCAGTAACACCTGATACAAAGAAAGAAACAAAATAATACTTAATAACAGACAAAAAACTTTATCAGGTTCAACTGAAGAACTTGGTTGCTTATGGCAAATATTCTCCACTAATTTCACACTATTCCTTTTTATTGAAAATAAAAACATCACTTGATCAGCATAAATATCATACTCTTGTCCAATTTTGTTTAACTTTTAACAACTTTTCTTTAACCTTGATTATCTCCTTACTTGTTGCTGAAACATCTAATTTCAGATCACTGTCAAGTGCTGCCACCTTTGGGCCATCACCTCCTGCTGAATTAGTGCTGCCATCTTCAGGCTTGTTTGCATCCTTCACCTTGTTCTTGGCTCCCAGCAGACGGAAGTCAAAGTACAGTGGATTGCAGGAGAACATGAGCTTTGGCTCTGTTGTGGTATATTGCACCATTTCACTGGGCCACTCCAATTCTGTGACATCATCAAGGCCAATCACCTTTTAACAAATTACATCAAAAGTACATTATTCATCAATTAAATGATACTAAAAATATGCAAATATCACAACAAGAAGATTTTTACACACCATGTTACATGCTCAAAGATGTTCAAATTAGTTGTCTTATTTCGTAATGATGTCTTAAAAGTAAAAATATTTTTCCAAATAAGTTTTTGTCACCTAGCCATTCCTGTTCAAGCATCCCAGTACTCAATACACTTTTTAAAAAATTAAAATTGATCATGTTGTAAATCTCAGTAAAAAGACAAGAGCTAAGCAAGATACCTCAATCCAACTTCAAAAATATAATACTAATAATAATAATAATAATATCTCCTATAACATTTACCTTGACAAATGACTCCAGTAGTTTGGCTGCAGGTTTAGACCCTGTTTCTGTCAGTTTGGCACTGTCCAAGTCTGGTCTTTTCTCTTCCTCCATGTTTTCCTGTGGGCCATTTGGAACACCTGTGACAGAAGGGCATCAACAGTAAAACATTTCAAAGTGTGCTGAACAAAACTCACTGAGGGCATTTCATTAAACTAAGTCTCAAGCATAAAGAATTTGTTAAGCTGCACAGATTTGACACTGTCAACCTAATTAGTAAGATTCCCACAGGCTGAGCAAGATGCTGGTTGAACTTCCTAACACTGATTTACAAAAGAAATATGTATTGCTACAGTATCAGAGGCCACACAAACATATACAGGTGCTTACATAACATGTGGCACATAAATTGGGCTACAAGACATGCACTTACCTTTGTTCTGGAGATTGCAGTTTACAACCACAAGGATAGTACAAAAATGTCAAATTACATATCAAATAGACAAACCTTTTTTTTTTCATTAAAAGAACACAAAATGAATAATTAAATGATCAGACCTTTATTCTCCTGCAGATTGGGTAAGCTTTCCTCCTCGTCTTTCTTTTCATCTTCAGCTGAATCTTTGGCAAACACTGCAGAGACCCCTCGTAGTGGAGAATTCTTCTTGGTAAAAGAAAATACCACCTTCCCAGAGTCCACGGGCTTAGAGTTGGCGCCTTTATCACTGTAAAAGCAGAGGAAATAATTAATATCTACTTTTTTATTTATCCAGAGAACACTGATAAAATACTCAATGCTTAGATCCCTTGTTAATTCATCTATGCAGTTTAAAAAAAAATCCTGCTCAGTTTGTCTTATCTTATCTAGACTTGTTCTTAACAGAAAGCTGTCTATGATTCAGTAAAACTATTTTCTTATCCAAAGAATATTTTTTTACTTTGTCTTGACAACTTATAATGCATTAGACATTTCTCTATCATGGACAAAATGTGTACTCTAGCAAGCTACAAAGCAGATGTTTACTGCAATTTGGACAATAACATCATGACACTTTTGCACCCAAAAAGAGTTCTTGAAGAAAAGTGGGCGTATTGTGCATTGTTTGCATTGTGGGGTTTTTATCACAATAAAAGTAACAGTTATTCAGGTAACTTGAGTCACCCTCATACAAAATTATTACCCACCTTGCTGGCTCCTCTATGGCTGGTCCAGCATGGCTGTTCCCAGTGTCTTTTGTGGGCTGAAATATACAGATATTCAATGTTTGATATAAGTCTTCACCAATGCAAAGTGGGCACTGTATACTAGTATGCAATAGAAATAGACACATTTACCACAAAAAAACCTGCGTTTTATACCTTGTAAATAATTATTCCAAAAGAGATAGTTGTGATTTGAACAGTTATCATACAAGCTTTCAAATCAACAATTTATGGCAAACCTGGTTCACACATAGGTAGCATGATAACATAAACTTCACATTTTACCTGAGGTGGGAGTTCAATCCCCTTTAAGTCTATAACACCGGTATCCAGATGTGGAGGAACCTCTTGGCTGCTGCTGCCACCTATAAATAATATATAAAATAACAGGTATAATTTGCCCCCTGTTGATTTTATTACTAGGCAACCATCACCCAGACAACCAATGCCAAGCTGCTATTCTATTGGTCAAATTGATAGTCTAATTGTCAAGTGACCACTTATAGGTCCAGTGTCAAGCACACATACAGAAGCAAACTTCTGCAACTAGCATTTCATCACATTCTTCACATTTTTAATGAAAAAATTTCCCTGAGTCTGCTTCAGATGGGGATAAACAGCATGTCATATTCCAAACAACGAAAAAATAAATAAACACAGATCACTTTCAGCTATTTTTTCCTGTCAATTAGTGCACAACAACTACACAATCAATGTTCCACAAATAGGAATACTATATTTATATAAAAAATAATGATCAACTAATTACAATCAGAATGAGACACATACTCATACAATGGTCTATCAGAACTGGTTAATAACAAATCAACAATTCTAACAAAGAAATAATTAGGAAAAATCAAAACAAAATTATCCACAACAAAGAAAGAAAGACTAAATTTCACAAACATTGCCATATCCAGTTAGGAAGGAAGCATTCAATCATATGGTATAGTAGTATATAGGTTGGTTTGGCACTAAAATTAGTGGAAAGAGACCACATACCAACACTAAGCCCGCCATAGATAGAGCGGAAAATATTCTAATCTGCTTACTGTACATACAAGTTTGTAACAAGGGAAAGGCAATATCTATCAAGTTGGGACTATATATATATATGTGTACAAATAGAGTGTTATGATAGAGGGAACAGTGATCACCATATATGGATAATCAAGTCTGTAATACCATATAAGGATGAAAAACATAATAATATAAACACCATAGCAAATGCGTGCAGCACAAAGCTAGCAAGTCAAGAAAAGTGTCTCAGTTTTACCAGGTCCGCCGATCCCACGGATTCAAATTAAGTTTTACGCTGTTGAGAGAAAATGGCTAGCTTTTAATGAAGCACAAAATACTGTGTGTGTGGAACTCTTAATGCTTTAATGCTAGATTAAACACAATTTCTTACAGAACCATTGGTCTATTCAATATTAAACTGGCTAAATTACATCTTGAAGAAGACAAAATGAATGTTTGATATTAAGTGATGGGGGCATTTTTTAATCCAAATGGAATTTCAAAACAACCACTAAAGATATGTATATACACATGGGAGTAATATGATATTATTTACATGTGCAACGAGGAATGCAACATCAAATTTATTTAAACCTTCACCATTGAAAAAAATTTAAATAAAAATATAATACTAAAAAATTAGGTTCTGATTATCCTACAAATAATATACAATGTTAAAATTCAAACACACTTTGTGAGATAAAAAAATGACCAGCTAAGCTGAAAGATTTACAGACAACCACTGAAAAAATTCAAAAATGTGAGGTGCAAATCAACAGCAAAATATATTTGCAACAAAGTGACTGGCACAGAAAATCATGTTAAATAGACAAATGGGTAACAATAAGACATACAGACACATGTGTCTGTATATCACTTTAAAAGAAAATGAAAAATCCAAACAGCACAGCATGATACTTGTGAGTTAGCAAGCTTTTCAGTCATGAGTCTGCTATACTTTCCAGCCACTATTTTTAGCAGGCTAGAACTAGAATACAGTGCCGGTACATAGGGATACGATGGAAAAAAAAATTAGCCCATTCATTGTGTTACATTATATCTAATTCTCAAGTCACTTACAGTCTTGATCTGAAAGAATGGAATTAGTGATAACAATTCCCACCAGCAGAAATTAGTATCATCAACCAAAGCATGCAAAGGGGATAAAGTGCTTCTTACATCTCTTCATTACTCTGCTGTAGATTGTATCTGAACTGGGCATGCCAAGCTTGCAAATCACTTTTTCGAGCAAATTCTTTTATGAGGGCTGAGGAGATGTTCTAGAAGCACCTTTCACACTGGGAGAACTAACATGCAATAATATGAGCTACATCCACACTGCTGGAACAATGGCAAGATTATCATGATTGTTTTTCATTATCCAGACACAAGCAAGTGTTATAGTTCCCAACTACCAAATAATTACAATAGACTGGGCAAAGACGCTTGATGCTACAGACACACTCTAGTTACGAGCAAGTGTGTCATAGCGCCAAGGCCTCACCCAACATCCACCTTGCCAGAAATGTGCCATAAAACAGTTCATTTCTTTCCTCTTTTCCCCTAAATATCATAAATCATGTTTCATGTTTCCTGATGAATGAGGACTCAATCATCAATGTGGAAAAAGACAATTCCCCCCCTTTCTGACAATAAGGATCTTTGTTTTTGTTTCACTTCACACCTGATGCAGAGATATGGTACAACAAACGCAACCACACACATGGAACCCGCACTGCGCTAAAATAGCAACACCTACAAATTTGTATTATGATTTCTACTCAGACAGCCATCAACACACAAAACTCAGCAATTCAATATAATTGAAAAAATAAAATGCTCATCATATTTCTATTTATACCAACAGCATAAATTGTTCCTATAAAATAATACTATCACTGAAACAGTTTTTTTAAACATGTTATGTAACAAGCTAACTCATACAACACAAGTCAGAATATGTATATTTTTATAGCATCTGCTTTTTTTTACTTAAGCTCATCGATTGGTGGAAGTGATCTTTTCTTTGATGTAATAAAAAAAGCTGAATTTACTAAAGAACAAATTCACAATGTTAAAGAACAAACACATTTCAAAGCACATTTGGAGATTCACAAAAATGGAGAAAAGGAAGAAATTTGCTCATTAAGTGATATGCTAGTTGCAAGGTGGTGCTCACAAAAATTAGAATTAACTCCCAAGTTAGGGGTTAGTTTCTACAGAGCATTCAAAAAAATCTGTAACATTTCCCTTCTCTCTCTACCAATCCCACAAAAAAAATCATCTAGTTAGTTCAACTTATCACAAAGCAGATTTTCAAACACAAAAATGAAAGCAATACCATGGTTCCTACAGCAAGTGCTGATATTCCTACAAAATAGATAGTTCTAAGGCGAAGGGTTTACTGTATTCAATGTTACATCTTTTCTGAGAAACTATGTGTCTAATTATTCACTTCCAAGCAGCTGTGTATTGTTGCTTTTTATAAAATACCCAAAATTATAAGTTGATCAAACTTTATCTACCAGTTAAAAATTGAACTGCAATATACTATGATACAACAAACTGAATTAATAGCCAAAGTTGTATTTCAAGTACACACTACACATTTTCAAACTTCTAGCAAAACAATGTGCAATAATTTAACAAAATTAGCAGTAAAAACATCCAAACTTTCACCAATGGTAATCACATTAAAAACAATACAATACATACAATGTTTTGATAAATGGAAAAGAAAAGGCCTAGGGAAAAATAAATCATATCAATAGATTTATATGCACAATTCAAATGTTAATGTTTGATGTTCAATATGAAGTGTCACTTGCAAGTCTGAGTAGAGTAAGGGGTCTGCAAATTTGACTAATCATGTTAGGGTTCATTGGTTTACTTTCCACAGATTCAGACAGACAGAAGGAAAGAGAGTGGAAATTAAAGAAGACATCTGTATCCGTATTCCCAGTGTTAATTGAGTGTTACATTCATCCTTATTGTTTATAAGGTCAAATCAAAAGGACATGTTTATCAGAATACCTTCTTGTAGCATGTTTACTACACGACAAAATAACAGCAATGAAGGCAAAAGTATATCTTAATATCAAATGTGATGTCAACAAAACTGTAAGATAACACTAAAAATTGGAAGAAGTGGAAAGAGATGTGATTTGCAATTCTTTTTTATCCTAGAGAAAAATCATTAGAAGGCAAAAAAAGTTAAGTCTTCAGAATTTTTAAAACAAAAAGCAAGAGATTCTATATGCCAAGTATTCTGTTAAACATGGAATGTCCACAGTCTCCTGTAAGCTTGTTTGACAACAAGAGGCCCACGGGTACAGTGCACTCTTGACTGCAAAAGCAGACTTGAATTTTTCACAAAACCCCCCGCCAAATACACAAATGTTCATCCCCAAAGAAATTTATCAATGAATAGTTTAAAAAAACTGACATTTTAATGTTTTCTTTTTCTGTGAAATTCACTGAAATCATATCAACATTTGTCGCCCTTTGTAATTAAAATGAAAACATTTGTAACTAAACACTGGCTTCTGCTATGAGATATGCACTGTTCTGGTAGTCTACCTTTCTTCCCAGTCTAAAATGTTGAATGAAAATTATGGAACCAAATGTGTTTCGAATTGTTTCTACTTCTTACCATTTTCTCCACATTTAAGTCAGAAAAACCGTTTTCATTCAAAATCTTAGAGCAAGCTCGAAAACAGCATTCCAACTTATTGGTTATCAATAAGAGAGGAAATGGGAAGAAGGGTGAAAAAAAAGGGGGGGGGGGTTAAGTTAACAACAAGAAAGCCACACTACTAACCAGGCAGGGGATAGGCTGTCAGTCAGTCCTCCATGATCTACACCCTTACATTATATACTAAAACCTCATAGTCTCTCTCTTACTCAGAGCCATATTAACCTGGTAGAGGTACAAGTAGCATAAGGAGGGGCCGCATATAACATATGCCAAAGCACCTTTGCACCATACAACTAAAACATATTTTAATACAGCCCTCTCTATTATGCATTATAGGTCCTCAACTAGTACCCTTTAACAGGTACCCCATATCTAACATATGCTACCAGTACCCACTAGGTTAGGGACAATTCACATGGAAAGTCTATTTTCTAAAAATCTATTTTCTAAAAATCTATTTTCTATTTGCGGTATCTTGTGATCACGGAAGTAACTGGCTCGTGCTGCCAGTAATTACGCCGCGGGATATTCAGGGCACAGACCATGATCACCGCGAATAGAAAATAGATTTTTAGAAAATAGACTTTCCATGTGAACGGTCCCTTAATCCGGCGCCGTTCTCAAAACTATTGCCACACATGCACAGCAGAGACATCCCAGGTAACAAGCTTGCACAGCACAGAATAGAAGGTGCTACTTCATATACAAAGGGTGCTCTTGTCATAATACTGAGGACAAAATAAGAAATTTGAAACAATTTCTCCAAGGCAGGGTTAGTTGAAAAGCAGTATCAGCACCATATGTGTTGATGGGTGATTAAGAATGGTGGGGCTGCAGGTTTAGCATTCAGAGTTCCCCAGAAAAACAATTTTTTTTAAATCAAACTTATCATAAAGTCTACTTGTTCATTGTTTGATCTTTTAAAAAGGTCTACATATAATCATCCTCATTTTTTTTAAATATAACAGATTTAATTGCTTGAGCTACTCATTAATGAAATATGTAATTTTCAGTTGGGACCTGTAAATAATTGTGCTCGCACAACTAACAATGTGTTCCTGGGGAACTCTGCATGAATTTTGGAAGTAGTTTAATTTGAACTGGTTGCAAGCATGAACTGAGCATAGACTTGCTCCAGCAGAGCAGCCAGCAGTGGTATTAGGCTATCAGTGACCATCTCACCACTGTGTCACTATAGCTGTTGAATAAAAAAAAAACAAAGAAGATGAAAAAAAAAAGAGAAGAACCCTTAGTAGCAATAACAAACACATGGGAACAAAAGCTTCAGACAACCAAGTTTTTGATCTAAGTTTTGTTCTGTTTTTTTTTTTTTAACTACAGATATATGTGCCACTCATAAACCTCAAAAGGCAAAAAAGTCACACTGATTAGACTACATGAAAGTACATAACCCTGACTCTGGGCTGGTAAACCTGTTTGTTTGACCAAGGAAACTAAAGTGCAGCTGTAAAATACTTTTACTATATATGCCACATATATAATCAACAGTATTACCTACTACATCATAGCCACTAGATAAATACATTATACAAAAGTAATGATCTGTGGCATTGCAACCTGTGTTTTAACTTGTAAAAAAATAGCTGGTATAATAGTTGCTTTATCGTTATAACATGGAACTCAAAATCAGTACAGACAAAAATGGTTAATGATGATAATAATAATAATAATAATAATTGCAATGATATAATAATGATACAGACATACAGCTATTTAAGTACATTATTTTCTCTACAAGACAGCACACAGATCATAGATCAGGGGGGTTTCTCAGTACAGCAAGCTCCCCCTTGTGAGAGAATAATAATATATTGGTAATTATAATCAAAAATAATGAATATAATCATAACAGTGACTGTTTGTGTGCTGCTTACAAGTGCAACAAATAAAATTCAATCACAGAACTCAAAGAAGATGGTTCTGATCACTGGTGAAATGCACATCGTTTTCAGCGTGATGCACATTGCCACTAGTGACGTGAACATCATCACCAGTGGTGGTCTCTACACAGCCACTCAAAAAACTAGGCCAATCATTCCCAGTGAGCATAGCAACATCCCATAATAGTAAAATTATGAACAAGCAATATGGAATCAGAGCATTCTAATAATGTCTGCGCAATGGGCTACAAAAAGGCACAGTGTTTTTCAAAGACTTAATTTTCAATATTTTTTCATGTTTCAGATTTGTAATTAAAAAAAATTTTGGTTTGACGAAAAAATGTGAATAACAATCCATAATAATTTTCATTAAAAAAAACTTTTACAAGAAAGAAACTTTACAGATTTTTTTTCAAGTATGACTGAATATGTTTGAGAATGCTTTGTACATAAGTTTTTTTTTTTTTTTTTTTTTTTCAAAAAATATTTCAACCCTAAAGAGCCCACTGTCAGTCACAATCAGCTAGTATACTGGCTAACATCCCAAACTCCAGTGCATTCAGTGCTCAAAGGGTTAACCCAAAGGTGGCAGACTACATGTGCAATTTTGGCCCACATTATACAAATACAAAAATAATATTTTCTTTTCTTTTGTGGAAGTCATGTTGAACATAGATATTAGCTGCCTTTTATTCCCTTGATGCTACAAAGGTTTTTTTTTTCTATTCTTTTCTTTTTTTGTTCATGATCATCCATATTTAAAACCAAGTCAATGATGACTATCTTAAAGAATTTTATACAAAATGCATTACTACATACACAAAAGTTAATCTTGAATCACAAAAAAGATTTTTATGAATATTAAAACTTTATCGAACTCCATGGCAACAGGCAGGGATATCTATGTACATTTCTTATCAGACCCTGGCAAATCTCAAATATCCTACCTAGGCTCTAGATCTAAGAAGTGATACCCAGACATGCCAGGTCCAGAACTGGGGGGAAAATTGAGTGAAATAAGGAAGTAAATAGTATAATATATATACTATGGGAACTTCTCACAAGCTCTGATTATGAGAGATGTATTCTGTTTGGTCTTGAAGCAGTCACCCATACTGAAACCAACCAATCAGAGCATGTGAGACAGTTCAATGAAAGGAAGCAACTGTGATGCAATATTCAAGCCATTCCATGCAAAGATACGTCTGAGGGAGATGCAGTGGAAGCCTATATACTGTAGCAATTTAAATAGGAGTACTGTTTTCTCTTCTCCACGAATAAGAAAATGTCTTAATCAAATTTATATTCTTGCAGCAGTACTACACAGGCTTCGCAAATTTTTCATACATGACTGGAAAACAAGTGTAGCATGTTAAAACTTCCTTTGATCTCCCCCAGGATGCATCCGCACTAAAAACAAAAGCAAGATGCAAAATCTAATACTGATTAGTTGCCAAAATTAAAAAAGCACTGAACAAAAACCAAATAAGGAGAAAAATATCAGAGATCAAAGAAGGTTAATAAAGAGAAAGGTTAATAAAACTGTGTCTCCTTTGTTTCAATAGAGCATCTTATGGACACTTATTATAACAAGACAACGGTAAAAACCTGTAGATAAACGAGCTTGACGTAACCATGGTAACCTGATCTGGGAGGGAAAATCAAGCAAAGACAATCAGCCCTGTTGTCATAGCAACAAGATATTTTTATTGTTTACTTTTGGGGCACAAAATGCATATAAAAAGTAAACAGAGAAAGAGAAACATTTTTCTGTATGTATGTATGCAGAGATTAAGTACAAATTAATGTAGTACACACATCACTGTGTCATATTTTGTTGTGTTAATGTCTCAGTAGGCCAGTCTAATCCATCAATAGGACCACTCACCACTGTTTTGTGTAATACGAAATGGTCACAAAAAGTACACAAAACGAAGCAACAATTAATTTTTGCTGTCAGGATTCTCAAGATACATCCTGAAGGACTTTTAGGTGACCATATTGACGTATTAGTCTGGCTTGCTATATTTGATGTTATGGAGGCTTCATGTCACCTGACCAGACAACACAGCTTTCAAGGTAGTCTGATATATAATCTTTGACGTATTGCTTTCAAAACATTATTGTGTACTTATTTCAAATACAAGTTTCATGAAGGAAAAAATAATCACATGCATGCCTGATTCATTCTAAAAAAAAACAAAAAAAAACAAAAAAAAAAAAAAAACAGAGAATGCAATGGATGCAACATGATTAAATTACAATCAGCATTATTAATTCATAAAAACCAAACTATTTATGGACAACATGGAGTAGGTTGGGTCAAATATGAGGGTAATGAACAATTGAAACGTTGATACATTCAACTGTAAAATAGGAAATGATTGATTACAGATTGAATTATTTATATTCAAATGAAACTTCCCTCTCTCTTGACTGGATAATGCTGTCTAACTGAAATAACTTTTGGTGACATTTACCAGGAAAAAAAAAAAAACAGCACGTCTCCTCAACAGAGAACCATCATCTAATAAAGAAATTGGGGATCCATTTGCCCACTCCATCCTGTGCATCTGTAACTTAATTTTATTCCTGAAACCAGTAATTCTAGCCTGCTATCAACTGGCATTTCTCTTCTTGCTGACATGCGCTGTCATCAAATTAGGAAACTGATTCTCTTTTTATTATCTTTTATCTAATTGTCAGCCCACTCCCTTCCTTCACAAACCTATTTCTCTCCTTTGCATTGATCCAAAATCTTGTCTCTCATTATTTAGATGTATTTCATGAAGGGTTTTATTGGTGATAAGGCAAAAAATAATGAAACCAGCTGAACTGTATGGCTCTTTTGTTTGATTATCTCATTGAGTTGTTTTTAAGTATGCATGATCTATCGATGGAGAAAACATCTCAAGATTTTGCAAGGAATGCCGTTATTCCATCCACATCTTTCTTATTCCTCTTCATCAATAAAATGATTTCCTTTTTTCCCCCAGACTTCTATCTTATAATCAAAGGGCTTTAAATATTGACCTTTACCAGTAAATTACACTTGCGGTGGGGATACCAATCCACTTCTAAGAGGCTATGTAATCTAAAACAATTTTCAGGAGGTTGTGACTAAAATTAATTCAAGGGAATATACTGCAGCAAGCACTTGAATGGAGGGGGGGGGGGGGGGGGTAGAAGAATTTGCAAGCAGGGAAACTTTGCAAAAAAAAAAATGTTAACAACTACTGCCATGGACGCCATTCAAGTATTTGCAGTCAATTTACGCCCTATTAGTGCCTTCACATGGCCACTGTACATTAGCACCCCAGAAAATACCCAGGAGTGTACACATCTGTGAGGGGAAACATTCTTAAGTGACTACTGTGTGCAGCAGACCCTTTGGTCCAGGAGGGTTCACAGTGACCTGCATACCAACGGATTTTTTTTCTTCCTTTTTTTTTTGGTCTTAAAGAACAACATGTGACGTTTCCTCTCAACACTTTCAAAATATTTTCATAACTGATACTAGAATATTACCCACGAAAATAATTTATGTAATAATCACCACATAAAAATGCCAATACAAAAAAAATGCCTTTTACTAAATTGTCTCCTGAACATTCATCTGCCCTCTGGATCATAAGCACCTCATATAATGCCACTACAGGGCCACTGATGTTGTACATTACATCCATCTCTTTTACATTATTATATAGTCCCAGTGAACCAAAAGCAGCTTAAACACGGTTCAATTTTCACATGATGAGCACTGGGAGGGCAGAAAACAGCCACCGACAGGGACAAGTACCCCTAATGTGGCTTTGTGCTGCTTAAAATTGCGGTGGAAAAGTTACACAATATGAATAATGGCATGCTTCACCCTCGCCTCATCTTCAATTCCTTCCTCCAACCCACATCTATCTGTTTTAAGCCTAGTCTGCAATAAATATGTCTCACAGGTTGATAAGGAACAGAATGCCTGTAGAATTGGGATTGTTTAAATACAAATGTATACACTCTAACAAATGAGATCTTCATCAAGAAATAATGATTTGCCTTCAAGGCAGTCTATGTATAATTTGCTGATTGATATGGGTAATCACCACTTTTGCATTGCATTAGTTTGCAGGAACTAATCAGCCATGCATTATTAATGCATATTTATTGAATCCATTTTTTTTTTTTTTTTGTAGCAGTTTTTTTGCCGATTGAAACTAGAGTTCCATGGATGTTTCATCTCCCAAAATTTACTTTTAAACACGTATTCATTTTAAATATAAGATGTTAGGCCCATTATACCCTTCAAGAGTTAATAAAGCTCAATGAGAGCTCTCAAACAAATCTAAGCCCATTTGACATGATGGCTGAATGCAATCACATTATTCCTTTATCTTATTTGATACACCCAAACTGCTCCCTAGACACTCTAGCTACTAACTATCCATCACATCCTAAAGAATCTCATCTGTAGGTTTATCTTAATCCATTGCTTAGAAAGCAACATCCAGTCGAGAGAGAGAGAGAATATTAACAACAGAGTTAGTTTTCCATTTCCTTTTGACATTCAGTTCAATTTTGTCGATGAGAATAACAGAAGCCATCTTACTGTTAAAGCAATTCGACCATTTTTCTTTGGATAAAGATGAAAAAATTTAACTTCTGAAGACTGTCAGGTATAAAAAAAAGTTGATGGCTTGAGTTAATTTACCTGAAAGCCATACAATTTCGATTCAGTCTTATTTCTGAGTATTCTTGCTGATTCTGAAATGTATTCCTTAGGTTTTATTTACTTTAATTCTTTATTATTAGAAATATGATTTTCAAGGGCGGAAAAAGTAAGATCAAATAATAACAAACAAATAATAAGCAATGTGCAAAATTTTGAAAATTGCTGAACAGCAACTTAAAGGGAATTGGAGTCTCAAATGCTCCCACTTATCGTAAAGCTAATTTTATAACTACACAAATAGTGTTTTATCAGGAATAAAATTGGGACATATATCAGAATGTAGCCAGTCGTTGTTCAGGTGACCATGATGCCTGTATATGTGAACGATAATGTGTGAGCATGTGTACCTGAATTCATAGAAATCGATGCTTTCATCAACAAGTCTCAGCCCATCAATGTTGTGACACATATCACTGGCTACCTTGTATTCCCTTAAGTGAAATAAAACCAGACAGCTTTTTTCTTTTTTTATTGACCCCTGGTGGTCCCAATACGGGGCAGACGATATTTCTGACACCAGGTGGCCACAAGAAGAGCCTTATTCAATATCAGATAGAACATGGTCTGTGCACAAATCTTTTCTTTTGAATTTATTCTAATAGAAGAAATCTCCAAAGCTGAGACTTGTTGTGTATGATACTGAGGTCCCATCTCTTTTCAAAATATTGAAATCAATATCTTTATCTGTGACAATTACGAGCTTCAAGAATCTCTATCTTTTTTTAGTCTCCTTGAAATCAAAACAGTAACAATGTTTTAGAAATCCATTAATCTGGCCCCAAGGGGATTTCCATCTCACCTTATCATAAAAAAAGATAACATTGGCCACAAGTTCAATAACAAGTTTCCAAATAGTCCAAAGTACCCCAACCTAAGAATATTAAGAAAGGAGATGAGCCACGTTATCTTGTTTTGTCATGGTAAAACAGTCTTGTATGTAAAATGTTGTATAAAAAGTGTGTGCATGTGTGTGTACAATAAGACAGAAAAAAGTACAATTACAATTAACTTTACCGTAACAATTTGAAATTCTTTTGCAAAACAACCTATGCAATCATTTACATGTAAAGGCAACTCTAAGACTGCAATAAGGCAGTATGGTGTAGGTAACAACCCTTGTGTGTTTGAATACCAATGAGAAAGATATTTCTGCATGGACATATTTGTAAATAAGAAAACCCTTATAAAAGTGTATAGATACCTTCCATTCTGCCCCCTTAATCACAACTGGTGACCAGAGTGGTCTGGGTATCTCTGTCCTGTACTGGTCACTTTTGGGGGGGTCACTCACTATGTCTTCCTTAAACTAAACAGCCACTCCTGCCACTGAAAACAAAACAAGACCAACAGACAGTCAATCAATTAGTATCACTAATTTGAAACCAACATCCTGCTATATATATAATTAATTAACTGTCAATACACTTACGCAAAATAAACGACAGGGTTGTTGGTTTTCCAGAGAGAGAGAGAGAGAGAGAGATCTAAAGTAAGAGCACAGCAAACAAGGTTTGTCAAAACAGTCTCAGCTAACAGCTCTCCATAATACTGCTACCACCAAGTTACATACTATATTATCCACTTTATGAGACAGTTAATTACTTTCATGGGTTCATTTGTCCTAATTAACTTTTGGTATTTGAAGATGATAACCATGTAATAATATAAATTAACAAGCATTCAGTGAACAAGCATTCAGGCCTTCATAAAAATGTCAGATATTCTTCTGTGATCACATCTACATAATTGTGCAACATTTACAAAACACATTAAGTTGGATTTGAAATAACCAAATCATTTTTAGTACAACAAATAAAACTTACAAATAATAGGATAATTAAAATATCTGTAACATCAAAAACAGTGACTTCAAATCAATTATCCCCATATTTGATAACCTTTTTTCTACACTTATATAAACACCATATAATAACATATTATCACATACATTATTACATGATAATAGAACATAATGATATCTTAAAATAAACTGGTAAAAGTCCTGCCAATCTGAACCCAAAGAGCAGATCTACGCACCCAAAAATAAAATCATCCATGCGAAAGTCGCAATAAGGTAATGATACCAGCCTTGTGATGCAAGACAGGTTTCTTTAGAGCAGGCGTTCTCCGACACAGCACGCAGGCTGTATAATAATGCTGCTTCAAGCATATTAGCAGGAAAAAACTACAGTAATTACTTCAATTTTTCAAACCCCTAACTTTTCCTTGTATTAAGCTTTTTCAAAATTGAATTTTAGCCAGTCACTACAGTAAGCTGTCTGACATGGAGCTTAATAATAATTCAAAACTTTTAAATCAACATTCTTAAATAACCATATTTTCAGGTGAAAAATATTTATTCATGTTGTTCGAAATTACTGAGTAATTACATACTGCAGTTGGTCACATAATGCTGACTATTCTCGTTAACAAAACCAACACTGCAAACAGCAGGATATCAACCATGAAATCTATTACCGACAGAATCTTCCCTATTGTAATCAAACCCAAACAAAATCACACACACATAACATAGACACATCATTTCTTTCAGCTTTTCCTCCCAATTATTACCGAAGAGAAGACATTTTATTGACAAGCCTGTGAAAATATCGGACCAAAACTTTCAGTGACAGATTGTCATAATTCAATCCCTCATTTAACTTTTCAGTTTTCCCAAGACAGGAAAGAGCAAAAACATAGGAGTGCTTCATCAGGCAGTGTGTTCATTGACTAGTTTGGTGCATTCAGTAGGACCGAGATGTTATTTTTCACACTGCTGAGTCAGCGATAGCACACAGGCCCAAGTCTCTGCTTTCTTGTACAAATCAGTACAACTTCATCTTGCTAAAATTTAGCGTGTGTCACATATTCAATTCAATCTGCCCCTCCTCCCCCTTTGAAATAATTTTCACAATTCCAATCAAAGAAGTTTGGATTCCTCTTTTTCCTTTCTTACTTTTATTATTATTATACTTTTTTGGGGGAAGGGGGGGGGGGGGAGACTCTGAATTGTCAGTCCACAAACAGAAATCCTCACTTCCAAAACCAACCCAGACACAGGCACTGGGATACAGGCAGCTCCCATCTGATTGCTGTGCCAGTGTATCAAGTGGAGGTTACAAAGTGCTGTTTTGTTTCTATTTTCACCCCCTTCATATTTCACTAGGAGTTTGTATATAAGCAAATAATGCCAAGACCTAAAACACAATGATATGTTTCAATGTCTTTAGAAGGCATGAAAGTCGATGCATTGCAAGAAAAAAATTGAAATTATTTCAGCAAAATATCTCCGATAAGAATCATAGTTAATTCTGATCACCTTGAAAATTACAACCAGGTGACTGCTGACCAATGCATAAAGTGTATCCACTCCAGTTAATGTTGGACTCAACCCAGCATAGTTAATTGATTCCAAACAGGCTAAAAAAATTCTAATATGGTCATATAAAAAATGAAAGACATTGAACCAGTTTTTCTCCCTGCCAAATCCATTCACACATTTAATTCACTATACTGATTCCAGGTATTTCCAGGTGAAACATTATTCTGCCCTTCACTACAGATCCTGTGATTAACCTTACAATAACAACACTGCCCGTAATTATGACAAGAAAATATCCGAAAACAAAGTTACCTTTGGGAGACACCACTGCCAAAGACCAGGAATAACCAAATAATAATAAATATAAGGGAACATTTTCACACTCTCAGACATGTAAACTAATAATGCTCCGGGTAATTTTTATATCTATCTAATATGACCTGCCTGGTACAACTCTTTTTCAATCAGTGAGCTTACAGCTATGAATGCCTTATCCACTCTGCAATGCTGGGTACATGCATGGTTTATCCCATTCTATTCCACTGCACACCATAATATCTACTCTTTATCTCTTTACAATTCATTTCTATCTTGGGATCTACATTGAAACTTGATAGCAACATCAATGACAATTTGGGTGATCCTTATTTACATTATATATATTCTGGGCACAATTTTCTAGGTCAAAAGCTCATGTAAACCTTTTTTAACATTTTCAAGCTAAAAAAAAAAATAATGACTGTCTTTTCATCTTTGCTAAAGTATATGTAAATCACAAAGCTTATTTTTTTTTTGTTTTTTGTTATGACTCCTATCTCTTGAAGTGGAAATCATATTAAAAGAGATACCTTCCTGTAAAGTTATTAGCCTATTGAAGCATGAAATATCCCCATGACACTATTATCAACAGGAAAATATTTAGACTTACCCAACTGAAAAAAATTCTCAGACCACAAAATAACCATAATACTAATAAATACTAATAAATCAACGGTAAAAAATATAAATGATTTTTCTTGAACGTTTTTGAGAAAGTCACTGAAATTGCCACAAGAAAAAAGCACCTATATCTGACAAAATACTTTCACCAATGTTTTGGTAATTTACTTCACATTTAACTACTGTTAAGTAAAAAAAGAACCATATTGACTTCACCTAGGTTCACATCTGTTGTTAAACTCCCAAGGGTCAGGAACTACGGAGCAGCCCTCCTTCTTCACAGATCTAACAATTGATTCCCGTCTCCCAGTTTGCAAACTATAACAAAAGAAGCATTCCTTGCCATACATCTACTCTGAGGGTTTCGAATCCCTGAACACAGAAAATTCCAGTCGTAATAACACATCTGTCCCGTATTGGTCACACCTTTTAGAGTTCTTTCATATTTGTACAGAGAAAATACTGGACTAAAAATCCATAACTGGACAAACACACTCCAGGAGAGTTAGGCGCTGCTGAACGGTGAAAACCCTGGTCTCTCCAATCCAACACCACCACCAACAGCTATCATCCCCTAGCCAATCAATACTGGGTATGATTATTAATATTGTGTACCGCATCAAATATTAAAACAATTACATGTGCTACACTTGGCGGTGCCTTATCTGGGGAGCTCTGTGCCCTGCTTATCAATGGAGTAACTTAATGGAACAGCATTGCACTACCCAGCATCATTATCTGTGGTGTGACCTTCACCTTGCTCTCCACACTCAGGAGGCCGTGCCTTGTAGAGAAATTAAAAGGGTGATTTCCCTCATGATTGCCAGTGCGTCAGATCCTATCAGCTGGCCCATTCAGTAAACTTCCTAGTCTCGTCCCTGTGGAGTGTCTTTTTCATCAACTAGGCAATTTCACGGCACTAATTTTTTCTGAGACTATTTTTTTTTTTTTGACTTGCAACTTTAGAGCAAAGTGCCAGCTGACAGATAAAAACTATCACTACAAAGTAGATTGAACTTCTTCATATCTTTCTGAGACATTTTCAAGTTTTTCAACATTTTTGAAGCCGTGAGGGTCAAAGACAATACTGCTGAAAAAAAATTCTAACACACAGGTTACAAAAATAGTGTCCAAAATTTAACAATGGCCATGATTGCACCTTTATACCTGACATAGATTTAGTTACATGTATCCCACCCCCTGCCTTTAAACAGATTTTAATTTATGCTGTGACTGATTAATGGGGACTTTGTGCTAATGAACATACCAGGAGAGTCGGTGTTACCAGGTAAAATCCCATAAAACCCCAGCCTCAATATTAGGCACAACGTGATGCCAGCATTATGAAAACAGCTTTGTGCCATTTCAGTGTCCACACATCATCAATTTTATTGCAATATATCAAAAGAAATGTGTTTCAAACTACTGGCCTTGTCCTAATGGACCATAGAGGGCAGCATGCTACCAATTTAGATTCTTTTCTTTCAATTTTATTTTTGATCACATTAATTGTAATGAGTCTTCTGAGATGGGTGGTCATAAGCCAGGTAGACACACGCCTTCAATGTCCTGCTCAGTTCAATGAAATCTCAGTGAAACTTCCAAAGATGACATTACGTTACAGTCATTCTAAAAGGATAACCTAGCCAGATGCCATCTCTGTGGCACCATCTAGATAAACCCAGTACTAGTACAGACATATTTTTCCGCCTTATCAGCCATTTCTCACTTTCTATGAGCCAAGAGACCCATCAAACAGCTCCACTTCATCAGGCTGATGAGTCATATCTTGCCGTTTTCATTATCTCTGATATATACTTACTCCTAGGGGGTCAATTAGTGCAGCCTTTTTTTTTTTTCTCTTTTATCACCATGGCTCAATCCATGAGATGTTGTCCTCATCGATGAGATATCACATGACTTGCTTAGGATCTCCAGAAATTAACTGAATAGATGATAATGACAATATAATCTACTTTTCAAAGGAAATCTACAAGATTGCCTCTAATAAGGCAGTCACGTTTATGATTAAGGGT